TAAAAAAAACAAAAAAAAACCCCCCCGGAATGTTATATATTGTGTTTTGGGACTAGGTTTTGGATTTAAAAAAAAAAAAAAAAAAAAAGAAACCTATTTCACTTCCATGAACAGGTGCTGTTACTGTTCAGTAGTGTAGCTCCCCTCATAAGTTGTAAAGTGAAATCTCTGTTTTTAGGAAAAATGTGTGTCAAAAGTTCATGATAATGCTCTTAAAGCAAAAATGGTGCATATTCCTAAGTATTCACTAGGGTCATAGGTCAATATTGGCACTTTTTCTTCAAGTAATGCCATGTGTGAGCCACCGGAATAGAAACTAGAACTTTTGTATCCCATCTTTAAGAGCAAAGACAGAAATCTCACTGTCCTAGTTAGCCTCTCAGACAACTAGTCTCCTTTGAAGGAACATTAGGTCCAGGAAATGCACAGCTGTGAGTATTCTAGCATCAGCAGAAGAGAACAGCGAATACTTACAAGCTTAAAAGAAAGTGCAGGATGATTGTCCAAAGCAGTCTCAGTGTGTGTTTCTGCACTGGTCCTTCAGCACTGAATACTTGCTTCAGTGAGTTAGGCTCCTGTTTTTCAGACTCTTTCCAAGTTATCCATGTGGGATCTAATGCATTCCAACTAGACACAACGGTCTAGTGGTCACTTGGCGTAAGGACATCCTTGCTTTTTAAAGTGTATTCTTTTGTGCTTTTTCCCATGCAAGAAAGGAGACAAAGCTTTCTTCAAGTGATGGCATGCACATTTTTCAGATTACTTCCTCATGAATACATGACTGCTGTAGTCCAGTTAAATGTTTTTCCAACAATAATTATGCCTTTCAGGAACAATGGAAAAAAACTGGATTGTCCAGTATTTCTTTTTTTGTTTTGTTTTCTAGCACTAGCGCTGAGAGACAAAATACCATTTCCAAGAGCATGGGTAGATGAGCTGCCAGTGTTGAAATCTGACATATACCCTAAGAATTTTATCACTTTTTATAAAAGCAAGGTATCTAAAGACTGTAGATGAAGCTCACTTGCTAAAACTCTACTGGAATATGATTTTAAAAGTGTTCCTTTTGTCATACCTAAACATTCTTAGATTTTCAGTAGTTTCTTGGCAGCTGGCTAATCTGACTCTTTGGGTTAGGAAAGAGAGGTGAGCCTGCTTGTAGATGGTCTCTTCCAGGAAGAAAAGCAGTAAGTTAACTGGTGACACTGCAATGTCATTATTGCTACATCCTGTTTAAGAACAGCTCTGCTTGAGAATATTGTGTTGAGGTTAAACTCAGCACCATGAGCTTTAACATTGCCTTTTCTGTGAGGATGTGTTCATGATAGACTATTCCACAATTCAATATCCTTGAATTTAAAAAAGAAAAACAAAACTTTAGACTCCTTTGGCATTATTTTCTATGATGAGGAGCCATTTCATCTGCTTTTGTTCTTTCTAATGTTTGCCTTTTAACCTGCTGTTTTCAGACCTGATATAGTAAGACCTTTTAGATAGCATCATTTAATTTTCATAGTTTTCAGTTAATTTATTACATTGGAAGGGCCAGACTGAAACCTGTAGATTTTTTTTTTTTTTCCCCTCTTTCGCTGGCTTTTGACTGCCACTGACTCTGGATCCCTGTTCTTTCAAAACACAAAAGATTTTCACAGCTTCCTTTTTAGTGACAGTTGTCTTACAGGTTCCATGGAAAAAAGAGAGCTCTCACAGGATGCTTTTGTATTTGTGCTAGAAATTGACAGGCAATTTCTGTCAAATGTTGGCTGCAGTTCTGGCTCAGCTTTCTTCCCACAACATATTACGCATTTAAAAAAGAAATGTGAATGCAATAATCATATATAAACTGTGTCAATTGATAAAATGTTTAGCATGCTGAAATGGCCTAACTTGAGGTTGTAAGTCACCGTACTCATTAAAAATACATATAGATATGTATACACACACTAATTTGTGTGGGTAGCTATATTCTATATGTCACCCTTAAAAGAAAAAACATTTCAGTTAAGAAAGACATTACTAGACTTCCTTTGTTTCTTAGTAGCATTTTGATATTAAATTGGAGAATTCAAATGGACAGATGTACAATCCAGCATTTTGTGGCTTACTGCATATGTTGCTAGTAAATAATGATCATTTATCTACCATTTAGTGATTATTTGAGCTTCCCCCCTCTCATTTGTAGATTCTTCATGGATTTAAAAATCAAGTTGGGGATGAGAATTGGAGGCGTTTCTCTGACCAGTTTCCTCTTCCCTTAAAAGAGCGCCTTGCAGCTTACTATGGAGTTTAACCTCATGCACTGTAGCTGCAGTCCCATAATTAGAGGTAAGCACACAAATCTTCCTTGCTGAACAGAGCTGTATAACAGACTTCCTCCCTGTTTGCATTATATGAAACATAATTAATTCATCAGACTAGAATTTTTCAGATATGCTGGATGAGATATCCTTCCTTCCTATAAGAAGGAATAAAAAGGGATGATATTGTACCTAAATGATGGTAGCTGTAGCAAAAGCAGTTGTCTGACTCTGTTATTTTATTTTTACAGAAAAAGAAAGAAAAAGTGAGTGTATGATAGGCACGGTACTGTGTCAAGATAAGGTTGGAAGTGTAGGTGTAACAAAGTTCCAGTTCAGGCTTAATAAGCAAAGTGATGAATGTGATCCTCAAGCCATCATGCTAAAGGCACAGACTCCCTTATGTCTTACAAATTAGTAGCTGGCAGATGTTGTCTAAGCAGGAATATTCCTCTAGGATAGGAAAGCAAGTTTGCTAACACACTTTAGCCATGAGAAGTCCAATATATTCCTAACCACATACTAGCTAGATGATCTTTGCATTGAATAAAGGATGTTGTGCTAATCTGTGACTCTACTGTAACTGTAGAGTTTGATGTTTTGGAAAGGCTGATGTGTTTATTGTTGCCATACTCCATTTTGTGCACCAATTCAGAATTGTTGTAGTTCTGTGTGGAGAATGATTCAACTTCAGCAAAGAAGAGTGATAGTGCATTCTAGAACAGTTATTATACCACCTTGCTTTCTATGCTGTCTGTGCACACTGCATAAAACAGATTTCCCATGTGTAAAGTAGTGTGATACTGTGAAGAGATTATCATACTACCCAAAAAAGAGGGTGAATTAAGTTTATTCATTCAGTCTTTATATAAATTTGATACTTGCTGTAAAACTCTTGTACTGAAATTATGGGAGCGAATCATTCAATTTTGTTTTGTTCTTGAATGGACAACTATTCAGAAGTCAGCCTAAGATTTTTTTTCAAATTCAGTGACATAAGAAATCCCATTTGAATTACATGTTTGATCTGAACAATGGATTAAAAACAAACCAATTTCAAACATTTACATATTTACCAATGAGGGCATTTTAGTTGTGACATAAGGGTGTTTTCTCCTAATGAAGAGGAATCCAAAGGATAAAATTCACCGTTATTCTTAGGAGGAGACACTATGGATAACTTGTTTAATCCACCTAAAAGTGTAGTTGTTAGATCAGCAGCAGATATGTTTAGTGCTCTTCCTCAACGTCATAACTACCTCATAATTTTGTGCTAAAAATGGAAAAGCTTGTTAGAATATGTAGGACTGCTTTTATCTTAAATCTAAGCATAGCCACAATAGTGGAACTATAAGTGTAGCTTTAAAGCATACATTGTTGTTTCATGAATAATAATTTACCTGATATAAATGGGCTCTTTTCTTAAACAGACTTAAAAGGGAAAATCTAGGCATAAATTAGTTTTTAAGTTAAAGGCTGGCACCTACTTTTAAAAAAGGTGAAAAAGCTCTTTGTTTATGCACAGATCTGTCAGTTAAGGTTCAAGGTAAGATTTCACTATACCTTTATCTTTTCCTTTCACAGGTCCTTCAGTCTGGGAGACTATGAGGGAGCCTCTGCACCCAGGGAAAATGTTACCCTTTACTGGGGGGAAGGGTAAACCAGTAGGGAATACAGTACAATCCCAACCCTACTGGGAGGGGCGGGAGGGAGGTGTTGCCGTCACTGTATTAAGTCGATGTTGGGAAATGTTTTAACATCTGGAGCCTTTGTGGGTGGAAATCTGTCTCCTATTACAACTCTGCACTGGATGTGAAGAAGAAAAAAAAAAAAAGAATCTAGTTACAAAACAGCACATTCTGGAATATTGTGGGGAATTGTACCAAAATAAGAACCATATAATTGAACCATAGGGATACGTAAAGAGGAAAACTATTTTGCGCACAATAAAGGAAACCTAAGAATGGGGGTCACAAACAGTAAAAGGCTTTCTTTTTTCTTTTATGTTTTTTTAAGTAAGGGTTTTCTACATTATTTCATCCTGCTTGATGGGATTCCTAGGTATTTGCATGTTAATGAAGAACTACACAAATGAAGTTAGTACAGTTAAAATGCAGCTTGTGTCTGTATTAGGAGCAGGCACTTGCAGTGTACAATATAGAAACTCCGTTGTAAATTAATAAAGGTTAACTTGGACAAAATGAAGCAACCTGCAAGCTGCCAAATGAGTCACTCCTTTCATTTTTGGGGTAAGGGGAGGGACATTTCAAAGGAGAGATTGACATCTTAATTTTTACATTAAAAAAAGAATTAAAGTAGTGGATATGATTTGATTATTGTACTTCATTAGATTTAATTTCTAGAGTAAGGCATTATTCTTAACGTGCAGTTTAAGGTTCAGGCATGCATTCTGGCTCATAGTGATCAGAAGTAATTTAAATTAGTGGGAAAGTAGCATGCTTGCATCACATAGAGTGAAATTGGTATACATTTCCCTATGTTGCGCCAGTCTTGTGTTGCAGTTTAGCAATTCAATATAGCCCTGCATTTAAAATTCCTTTTCTAAGATTCTGTGGATCTTATTTTTATTAAGAATATGGATATAAAGTACTGTAGTTAACAATTAGGCCTTGAAATACCTTTTTAGGATCTGTTAAGATTAAGATTGATATTGTATTGTGTGTAACCTGCACAATGTGGAAAGCTGATATAACTGTGCAAAATATTTGCCTCTGTGCTGTCAATGTGATGTGCTTTCTGCATGGTTATATACTAGTGATTTTATCAGAATCTCTAAACATGAGTTACATGGTAAGACCCGTTAAAGGCTGCATAAATGTTAGTTGGCACATAAAGACAATTGTA